GAGCAGGGAGCCCGATGCGGGGCTCGATCCCAAGACCCTGGGACCATGACCTGAGCCGAAGGCAGACACCTAACGACTGAGCCACCCAGGCACCCCAAAGATATTTTCAAGTATAAGATATCTCTCCATTCTTTTTAGAAAAGAATTAGCAATAATATTTCATTTACATTCCACTCCATGAAAATTAAGCTCCATGAGGGCAGGAATGTTAATGTTGTTCATCATTGCCTCCCCAGCTCTTTTAAGTGTTTAGCATATAACAGACATTCAAGAAATAGTTGTTTAACAAATATTCGAAAGTTACAAAACACAGTAAAACAATTTTATAACTGTATTATCAAATAGAAATCTATAGAAGCCATAAATAGCTGCTATGTTAAGTTTAACAGTTTCATGCAACAGGGTAACTGGAAAAAAGTATTATTATTTTATGAATACGCAATCTTAGGTATCCTTTTCTATGAGATTTCTTTGAATTCTGAAAATAATAATAATGCTTTGCTGATAATACAGCTGTCTAAAAAAATTGCCTACCTAGAATACAGCTCAGAACCTTGGAGCAGCCAGAACTGGTATCAAGAAAATGACACAATTTACTCACTGAATCTTAACTTACATATAATCATGAAATACTGATTGATTTTTGTAGCCAACAGAATAGAAGCAGTGGTAGGAAGAAGTGGAAATTACTTTAAGGCTACTTATAACTGGAATGAATTCTAGCTCTATCACTTCCAACTCCTAATATCTGCAATACACTTAACCCTAAGATTAGTAGTCAAACCTTCTCAAAACCCTGCAGTGGTGCCCATCAATTACAGGATAAAATTCAAGCTCTTTACTATGGGATACAAGGTCTTTATTACCATGCCTCAACCTTTTCAGCCACTTTCCACCTTAGGATTTATATTTCAACAAAAATTGCTAGTGTTCAAAACTCCAAAAATAGAAAATTGCTAGTGTGCCCAACCCAGTTTCATCTTCCTCAGGATGCTTTGTAACTCTGAGAGCTGGGGTGCTATTGGAAAACGCAACTATTCAAACTGTATTCTCTGTAAATGGTATCCCCTGAGGCACAGGGGGACTGATTTTCAGAGAACAGAGTGCTTATGTACAGTCAGATTCTCCTAACTTCCCAGCATCAAAGTACACCTTCAATAATATCCCAGCATCTTCCAAGTTTATTTGACCATTAAATTTTCTTCTTTTTCCATAAAACTTTTTAACCTCTACCAAGACACTTTCAGTAAACATCAGCTCCATTCTCTTACTAACTGACCGTGGACAAATTGCTTAACTTCTGAATTTGTTCCACCTAGCTCCTAAGGTCTTTTGGAAGAGGATTAACTGAGATGCTATAAGAAAAGTGTTTAGCATATAGCCTGGAACGCAGTATTCATTAAGAAAGATAGTATTATAAAATAAGAGATACAGTTTGCCCTGTATCTCTTGTAAATATCTGCTACCCAGGAACATAACTCCAAGAGAAAGTGAGTATCTGTTCCTGACAACCTTAGAAAACCTTCAGACACATGAAATTCTTACAGTGAGCAGTTGTCTATGGATGTATAACCGATATCTGTTGAACAGTTAATCAGGAAACTGGATCTCAGTCTCAACTCTGCCATTAGATAACTGTGGGCAAACCATTTTACCTTTCTGGGCCTATTTCCTGATGAGTTCTGTAAAGATGTAGAACTACTTATCTAAAACATCCTTTTTGGCTCTAAAAATGTTAAGATACCATAATGCAACTACTATACTTTATGAGATAGCTTCTGATCTACCAGAGCTTAGCACTCTCATGTACACGTTTAAATACCTTATCCATTTTTATGTGTTATCAAAGCAACAAACTGCTAGTAAGGATATTAAGGATATTAATCGAGCTCACCAACATTTGGAAACAACCAAAAACAACCCTCTACCTGTGAAGGAGAAAATGGTAGTGTTTTCACCGGCGTATGTTTTAGTGCTGTATTACCACCATCATTGAAACAGCCATCGCTATGTTCGCTGCTGGGGGACTGACCCACTCGCATTCTTCTCTTCTTTCTGAGGATGGTTGGTGGAGTGCTAAACTTGGCCACATTTGGGGATGTTACAGGAACAGCCTCACCATCTGCACCATTACAACTGGTTTTTTTCCCTTCAAGTACAAGACTGACATTAAATTGACATTCCATGGCTCCTTCATTGTGTTGAATTCTCATTAGTTTGACTGGGGTGGACTTGACAGGAGAAGCAGCAGCATCAGAAAGATCGAAAGTGGTAACATCACTCCATGCTACAGGATCCTGCAATAAAATAAATCCTTAACTAATTAACTAAAGCTAATGCTTTAAACTAGTTAAATGTGATATCAAACATAGAAAGATGACTTTCACAAAGTTAACTACTCATTTTTATTAGGAGAAATAGGCTTTTCTTGTTTTTTTTTTTTTTTAAAGAAAGGCCACTTGAGAGGAAGAGATTATGGTTTGACTACAACTCCAATTTGGAACATTCTGAAATAATATTTCATTTAATTCAGTAGCTGAAGCTTACTGTCAAAGTAAGTAAAAAGAATAAATTATTTTAAGTTATTATCAAAGAATATAATTCTTCATAAAACTTCACACTCTATTCCACATCAGAAAAATACTATCAAATTCAATATAATTTGGTAATGTGTATGGAACATCTTCAAAATCGTCATACACTTTGATCCAGAAATTCAGTCTAACCTAAGGAAATAATCATGATTTTACACAAAGGTTTACATAACATATTCTGTAATTTGTAATACTGAAAAACTGGATACCACCTAAATGTTCAATAATAGTACACTGAGTAAATAAATTTTTTTACATTCATATGATAGAATAGTATGAATCATTAAAGTTGAAGTTTAAAAAATAGTTAAGAAAACAAAGACATGCTCATGATATAATGTAGAAAAAAAATCCACAAACAAAATACATAAGAGTATCTTTTGGTTTAAAAATATATGCATGCATGTATGTCTTATATGTATAGAACACACCCTGAAAGAAAATACTTCAGATTATTAACTCTGGGCTTCTGGAGGATTTTTCTTTTTTACAGTTTCATCTAGTTTCCAACTCTCTCTAATATACTTGTACAACTTGTATAATAAAAAAGTTAAATTTTATTTTTTAAAAATTTTAGACAAAGTACATACAGAGATAGATATAGATTTAAGTTTTTTGTTTTTCCCAAAAGCCACTGCAAAAAATCAGAATAAAATTAAGCATGACATACAAAGGAATGTTTAAAATAAAACTGGTCAGTGTCCCTTAAACTAAGTTTCCGACCATGAAACCATGTAACTAAAATTGAGCTTTTGATAATCTCACAATTTCAAACTTACAGATTCAATAAGTTCTAGAGTCTCTGCAAATTCTGGGATGGTCTGTAGAGAGGACAGCACAGCATTTGCCTCTACGGCCAGGAACTTTGTGGGTGAATTCTGCTGAGCAGACAGAGTTTGATTTTCATCCATACTGTAAAACTCACTAGTGTGCTCCTCGAGGCTATTTAGAGTATTAGACATGCTATCATCCATGAGGAAACTACCAGACCAGCTAGAAAAGCTTCCAGGTTGCTAAAAGTACAAAAGAAATGTATTATTTGTCATTCTCAACCTAGGCATAAATTTGGATTTTAAGTAAGAGTTTTTTCCTAGGATAACATACTTCACAACATTTCAGCTAAAAAATATAGTAGCAAATATACTGTCTTTCCTCAAAATGGATATAAACATTTTTTTCATTAAACCTCTTGTCTCTATTTCTTTTTTCTAACTAAATTTTTTTTTTTAAATTTATAAAGTCATGGTGAGATAAAACTAGCACATGTATACAACATAAAGTTCAAGCTCCCAGAATGTGGTCTCTCTCTACCTTTTACCCTTCATCTCGCAACACTTTCACTCATCCTCCTTCCAGGGAATACCGAATACCCAACTATAGTCGTTGCAATTCCCACACAAGTTAGTCTTTGACCCCAGAATGCCTTTGCACATACTACTGCTCCCGTTATCTAGAATGCTCTCCAACACAGACCAGGGAAAACTTTTATTCTTCATTTTAAGATACACTTCAAATATTGGAAAGTACTCCATCTGATCATCCACTTTTACCTGTTTCACTTACAATAATGTCCTGGTTCATCTACTTTGCTGGAATATAATCATTGCCTTCCAAGATTAAGCTCAAATAGGATTTCTTCTAGGAACACTTCTCTGACTACCTAAACCTTAGACACCTCTCTTATGTGCCCTATAAAACTTTGTGACTTATTTTATCACACTACTTCCTATTTCTTGTCTGTGTCCTCATTGCAGAGTAAATCCTTTGAAGTCAGGAACTGTGTCATTTTTCTCTCTCTGAAGAGGTACAGTGGGCAATTTACTTATCTTTTGAGCTTAGCTTCCTAGTATCTCATAATAAAAAAACAAGAAAGGAGACCTTGAAGAGTCATGGTTAAGAAACAATATGTAATTTGAAAGTTGTTAAGAGTGCATCCTAAGAGTTCTCATTATATGAAAAAAGTAATTTTTCCCTTTTTCTTTTCTTTTTCTGTTTTGTACCTATATTAGATGACAGATGTTAACTAAACTTATTGTGGTTATCATTTCACAATATATGTAAGTCAATTCATTATGCTGTACACCTTAAACATACAGTGCTGTATGTCCTATCTCAATAAAACTTGGGAAAAAAATATGTAAAGCATATATCTCTGTCCAGAACTCTCGGAGGTGATAAAAATGTTCTTACATCTGAAACTGCTCACTATGAGAGCCACTAGCCATATGAGCAACCAAAATGTGACTAGTACAACTGAGGAACTGAATTTTTAAATTTCATTTAAAATTAAATGGGGCTAGTAGCTACCATATTTTAGAAAGCACACTGTCCCATCCACAGGAAGTACTCAATAAATGGTACCTATTATTTTTAAAAATAAAAATTACTAGAATGTGCTAGATAGTCAATAACTAGAAAACAATAGCAAAATGTTTGCTAGACAACAATAGCAAAATGTTAAGTTTCAAGTAAGGTGGAAAAAAATTTCCAACATTGTTATAAAATAAGTTCCACCTGTTTTAAATTTCCTCCAAAATAAAAGAAATTAAGGCACTCTTAGTTTATTAGCATAGCCAACTTGCGAGTTTACAATCACTTTCTAGAGATAGGTTCCAAGCCGTATGCATTTCAATTAAATTTGGAGGTGGGAAAAAGATTCAAAAAGGTGATTAGGCCCAGTGGAAAAACCAAAGGGTTGCATTCAGACTCACCTGAATTTAATTTTTAACAACAAACCACCTACTTCACAGAGTTAACATAAGGATTACTAAGAATACATAAACACACCTATAATGGTCGAACATAATAGATACTCAGTAAAATGACAATATTTATTATCAAATAATTTTTAAGAATAAATACTTTATATGTGTATGGACTCTACTCCACTGGGTATAGCAACTTCCCTCTAGAATCCAGAATCTCCAACCAGATCTTTACGAGAATGGATTTTAGATAAATAAGTTCTAAAAAAATTAATAGCTTCCTTCATTTTAATGCAAAATGCCATTTCTTTTAGCTAGTTATATCTTTCTGTTAAATTAAAAATGACAGAAACTATCAAAAAAATAAAAAATGGTTTGAACATGACATAATTATCTAGAAATGTGGACTCTCTAATCATAACTATTTATTTCTCAATAAAACCAAAATTAATTTTAAAATAAGTACACTTCAGGTCTTCCTATTTGCCCATGGTTTTTGCAATTTCAAAACAAAAACTATGCCTCCTATGGCATGCACCTTGTCTGTTACGGTTAACAAATGTTGTTTTTATTAACACTGTTTTAAATGGTTTAAAGAGATCACCAGTTGCCTTGTAACACTATTTCAAGAACTCAGTTTATTCTATTTAGTAATTTTGTATTAGTTCTCAGTCACCCTGAATGGACAGTCCCCTCATTAAGCTGCAAACCAAGAATAACCCTTTCCTAAATGCAAAACAAATCTCAGGATATTAAACTTAAAATTGTCATTTAAGTATAAACTTTTTTTCCTTTAATCCATCTAACATAGCCTGTCTAACTTAGCTAGAATGAATACCATTTATCCTAATTTAATACTCCTAATTGTTCCCGTCAACCAAATCCCAGACAATAGTTTTCACATGTGGTAATCAATATTCACATAAAAATTTTTTAAGAACATAAAACTTAAATGTTCCCTTTCCCTGTATTTTTTAAGTTATTATTTTTTTCTAATTTACCAAATTTGTATTCATAATAAATAGGAAAAAATGCTCAAGGACAGAAGGCAATTTTGAAGCACATAAATCTCTACACATCTATTAAATTCTTTATTTTTCAAACTTTTTTTCTATTAAAGCCATCATTACAAGGAATGTCTAAAATAAAAGCAGAACCAAAAATCATAATAAAAGCAAAGCCTAATCTAAACCACACATCATTTTCACAAATATATATATATATATTGAAGATCATACCTTAAGTCTGCTTGACATTTACAACTCAAGAAGCATCTTAACACAGAACATTGTAAAATATGTTCAAAGAGTTGTATATCAAAATCAGGCAACCTCAACAATGCAAAATAGAAAAACTATTTTTAGTCCACATTAAAATCTGAAGTCATACTGAATATGCTTTCCATGCATTAGTATATGAAAGTCAATGCTAAAGAAAACAATAAAAGCACATAAGGATTCTAACAAAATCTAAACACTTAAGCTTATTTCTTACCGATGAAACTCGCTTTCTTCTAACTTCATTCTCAGCTGACATAAGAAGCAACTCAAGTTCCTTTATTTTTTTTTCCTTATCAGGATCTTCATCAATGAAGGGTGGCTAAAATAAGTTAAATAAAAGAGAAAGACATGCTACTTAAACAACTGTTTTTATTATTATTATATTATTAGTGTTCTAATTTTTATCTTCTATGCAACATAAAATCTATTTTCTCCAATAAAGCTTAATACAACTAAATCCCAAATGCTCAATATCACAATCTCTCTGGTATCTAAATATTTTCAATTTAACAGAAAAGATTTGGGAAATTTATTATTTTCTTTTTTTAAGTAATCTCTACCCCCAATGTGGGGCTCAAACTCATGTCCCCAAGATCGAGCCACAGGCTCTACTGACAGAGCCAGCCAGACAGCCCTAGAATTAGGAAATTCAAATGCATTAAAAAACTAAAAAAATAAACAAATGCATTAAAAAACTTATATTGTATCATCTATATTAATTTAGAAATTTATGTCTGGAGTGTGTTTTATTAAATCATATGTATGCACATTCTATCCAATTTAAGAAAAATATGTTCATTTAAAACCCAAATGCTTTAAGTTGGAAAAATGAAAGGACGACTCTACTGGTGTTGTCAACCACCTTACATTTGTACAGTTTATATTTCTCAAACCCATTTATAAACTTTCTCCTTTAGTGTTATAATATTCAAAGTAAATAGAACAGATAGTATCGTTTTTGCCCTAGTTTTATGAATGAGGAAATAGGACTATTAGACTTTCAAATATATGTTTGAAAGTGTTTCCTTTTTCTGCTATAAATAAAAGTTACCTGCATAAACGCAGGAGTCTGAACATGTTCTACACAATTGCCTTCAGGTGACACATACTGATAGCCTGGGATCTAAAAAGTAGTTAAAATATTAGTATCATACATATAGCACTATATCTGAGGCAAAGCATAAAAACTCTTGACAAAATATCAGCATTAAAAACTCATAAAGTATCTCTTTAACTTTGAAAATTCATTTATATAGTAGTTTCTAATAACTACATCTTTGTTCTTAGAATCTACTAATGAAAAGTAACTCATAGGAAAGACCAATCTTCTCCTGGATGAAATACGAGAATTACTTGGCATATATTTATCAGCCAGTCTATTATCTACAATATCCACCAAATTATTTTTTTAATCTGCTATTAGAAGGATTGCTCTATCTCTGGAAGAAGACAAAGTAATTGTGTTCTTATCTTTCAGAGGAAGGGCTTGGTCCATATGAAGCACTCACAAAGACAGAGATTAAAGCAAGTTTTTCAATATTCATTCCTCCTACTCCTACCACCACCCCATGCCAATCTCTTTGTAAAAAGATATGAAAACAGAGGCTTCTTCTATTATTCTACTGCCTTAGAAAAACAATCAGAATCACTCATGTGCTTTTTAATACTCTGACAACAGACTAAGAATTATTTTCTTTCTTTTCTAAAGCATCTGTAGTAAGAATTTTGAAGTTGCATGCAAATTTAGTGTGCAATGGTGGAAAGAAACATGAAAAGGTATTTTTTAAAAACCAAAAAACCTAATAAATATAAATAAGAAATTGTTTATCTTCCATAATGGCCTACCTAAATCACTATCTGATGCAGAATCACCATACGTAACTACTAACATAGAACTTAACTTTCACAATACTTGATTTGTATGTTATCACTAAACTTTCAATGAATTAGAAATTTCTTTCTCAAACTTTTCATTTAAATCTGTGACAGTATTTCAAACCAATCCATTTTTTCTTTCAAGTCAAAATTAGAATGATTTTAGTAGTTCAAATGAGTTGAATTATGAATGCATAAATCTTTTAAGAATTATTAAAAGTATAATAAATAATTCTTAAAGTACAAGAAATATCCTTATTTTCCAATATATTTCGATTGAAACTGTTAAATACTCCCTTGACCCCAAATAATGTTTAAAACTATGTTTCTATGAGTTAAAAAAATAAATTTAAATGATAACCTTTCTAAGACAGAAGCAGAATGTTTCAGTTTATGGTGCTGAAATCTAGGACTCTAAAGAAAAATGTAAAGAAACAGACAATAAAAACCTTAAGGTATTGAGTATCAGCAGATAACTATACCGTCTTCACATGTTTTCCTATTTGTAAATTAAGATGTCATTATTTTTTAAAACGGTTCTTTTAAAATTATGTCCAAAAAATAATGTCCATTTAATGAGGTAAATTCAAATCGAATCTGTGCATACTAACCACAGATTTTTAACACCCAGACAAATTTTATCTTTTGGTAGACACTATTTTTAAGTCCTGACTTAATCTTTACATTTTATGTGATAAGAACCAAGAATTGCTCAACATGAAAAATGGTATGACAGACAGGCAGACAGAAAAATATAAAACAAACCTTATGAAAACTCCTAAACTAATTTCTTGCAGAGAAGAAAATGCACTGTAAGGAAAATAGAGCTTGCCCTATCATGAGCTTGGGGAATCTCTAATGAACCTGATTAAACAAAGACTGACATCACTTAGTTGACTGGTTAGTAGGGAGAAAAGCAAAGTTGAGTGCCATCAAAGAACCAATTAATTATCTACCATACCTCTCAAAATGATGAATGGATTTTGACTATTTTTTCCTTAAAACCATTTTATACACACTTACCTCTTAGAGATAAGCAATACTACAAAATATTTCTTAAAAGGAAACTACAATGGATGATAAAGCACAGATGACCATAAGCTTTGAATCATAAATGAAGTTTCAAAGAATGGTAGCATTAGGAAATGTACATACTGTTTCTTAACTAGATAATATAAAAATTACATATAAAAGGAAACATTTTAATGAGTTTGTTTCCAAAATATTTATCAATCAAAATAAGTAGAGATAAACCTCCACTAATGGTCTAACAGCTTGTTATAGCAATTTTTTTTTCAGTTTGGAAATTTAAATGTCTATTCCCCTTAATATATGTTATATCTGTCGTATTAAGAAATCAATCATTCTCCCATATAACAACTAAAGAAATCTTTTAAATAATAAAGGTATTAAAAATATGTGCCTGAACAGGTATGTAAAACTGATTCTGGGTTTGCAAATGGTCCATAGTCGCACAAGGTTTGTGTTGAAGTTTAGATGAAGATCGTTCTGATTTTATTCCATCTTGTAAGTAGCCCTCCTGTTCCACTTTTCTTCGCATGGTAGAATTCCAGTGATTTTTGATAGAATTATCAGTCCTAAGAAATGAAAATGTATAATTTAAAAGGAAAAAAAAAGGATTCCACAAATTTTAACACTGTATAAAGTGTACAAAGTGCTTAAAACAAATTTTCACAAATAATGAAACTAGATACTTTCTCAATTCAAAGATAAACTGTCAGTCAGGCATAGTTCTAAACAGTGGAGATAGAGCAGTGATGAGAAAGTCCCTCTCTCATGAGGCTTACATTCTCATTGAAAGTGTGGAAGCATGGAAGGAGTGAAGAATAGAAAAACAAAAAAATAAGAAGAAAAACATTAGTTTTTCTTCAAGCTAAATTCAACAATACATAAAAAATCATATACCATGATCAACTGGGACTTATTCTAAGGATACAAAGATGGTTCAATATCTGCAAAATAAATCAACACCATATTAACAAAATAAAGGATAAAAATCATATCACCTCAATAGATGGAGAAAAAGTATTTGATAAAATTCAACATCCATTTATGATAAAAACTCTCAACAAAGTGGGTACAGAGGAAACATATCTCAACATAATAAAGGCCATACAGGACAAACCCACAGCTAACATCATACTCAATGGTGAAAAGCTGAAAGCTCTTCCTCTAAGATCAGGAACAAGACAAGGATGCCCATTCCTGCAACTTTCATTGACCATAGTTTGGGAAGTCCTGGCCACAGCAATCAGACAAGAAAAAGAAAGAAAAGGCATCCAAATTTGAAAAGAAGTAAAACTGTCACTATTTGCTGATGACATGACTATATATAAAAAAAACCTAAAGAATCCACCAAAAAAACATTAGAACTAATAAGTGAATTCAGTAAAGTTGCAGGATACAAAATCAGTATACAGAAATCTGTTGTGTTTCTAATACACTAATAACAAGCTATCAAAAAGAAATTAAGAAAACAATACCATTCACAATCGCATCAAATAGAATATAATACCTAGGAATAAATTTATCAGGGAGGTGAAAGACCTGTATTCTGAAAACTGTAAGACACTGATTAAAGAAACTTAAGACAGCACAAATAAATGGAAATACATACTATGCTTATAGACTGGAAGAATTATTAAAATGTATATACTACAAAAAGTGATCTACAGATTCAATGCAATCCCTACCAAAATACCAATAGCATTTTTCATAGAGCTAGAACAAATAATCCTAAAATTTGTACAGAACCACAAAAGGCCCCGAATAACCAAAGCAATCTTGAGAGAGAACAAAGCTGAAGTATCACACTCCCAGATTTCAAACTATACTACAAAGTGATAGTAATCAAAACAGTATGGTAATGATACAAAAGAAACATAGGTCAAAGGAAGAGAATAGAGTCCAGAAATAAACCCACGCTTATACAGTCAGTTAATCTTTAACAAATGAGGTAAGGACATACAATGGGGAGAAGACAGTCTTATCAATAAATGGTGCTGGGAAAACAGGACAACTACATGAAAGGATAAAACTGGACCACTTTCTTATACAATATACAAAAATAAACTCAAGATAGATTAAAGACTTAAATATAAGACCAGAGACCACAAAACTACTCAAAGAAAACAGGCAGTTAGCTCTTGGACATTGGTCTAAGTAGTACTTTCTTGAACCTGTCAGAAAAGGGCAACAAAAACAAAAAGCACTACATCAAACTAAAAAGCTTTTACATAGTGAAGAAAACCATCCACAAAACAAAACCTACTGAATAGGAGGAGATATTTGCAAACGATATAAACAATAGGGGTTAACATCGAAAATATATAAAGAACTCATACAACTTAATATAAAAAAAAAATCAAAAAATGAGGAGAGAACATGAACAGACATTTCTCCAAAGAAGGCATATAAATGGCTTATACACTTAAAAAGATGCTCACTAATCATCACTAATCATCAGGGAAAGGCAAATCAAAACCACAATGATCTATCACCCCATGCAGGTTAGAATGGCTACTATCAAAAAATACCAAAAAAAAGTGTTGGCAAGGATGTGGAGAAAAAAGAACCCTCATGAACTCTTGGTGGGAATGCAAAAAGGTACAGCCACCATGGAAAACAGTATGAAGGTTCCTCAAAAAATTAAAAGTAAAACTACCATATGATCCAGTAATTCCATTTCTGGAAATTTATCTGAAAAAAACAAAAACACTAATACAAAGATATATGCACACCCATGTTCATTGCAGCATTATTTACAGCCAAAATATGGAACCAACCCAAGTGGCCACTGATAGATGAATAGAAAAATAAGATGTGGTATATGCATGCCATGGAATATTACTCAGCCATAAAAAAGAATGAAATCTTTTCATTTACAACAACATGGATGGACCTAGATGGTATTTTGCTAAGTGAAAAAAGTCAGATAAAGATATATACCATAGAATTTCACTTATCTGTGGAATCTAAAAAACAAAACAAACAGAACAGAAATAGACTCATGGATACTAAGAACAATTTTGTGGTTGCCAAAGGGGAGGGAGGTTGAGGGCTGGGCAAAATAGGGGAAGGAGATTAAAAGTACAAACTTCCAGCTGTAAAATAAATAAGACATGGGGATAAAATGTACAGCATAGGGAATATAGTTAATAATATGTAACAATTTTGTATGGTGACAGATGGTAGCTAGGTTTAGCTTGGTGAGCACTTAAAAATGTATATAAATGTTAAATCACCATGTTGTATACCTGAAAATAATATAATATTACATGTCAAAAACACTTCAGTTGGAAAAAAGCAAAGAAAAACATCAGTGCAATGCAGATCATTAAAGTAGGATAAGAAAAGTGAGTAACTAGGGTAATTTGATAGGTGGTCCAGGAAGGCCTCTGTGAGGTGACAGTGAAGCTAAGAATGAATGACAAGAATGAACCTGCCGTACAAGAAAAGAAAAAAAGAGCATTCCAGATAAAGGCATAGAGAGGGCAAAGGCTAAAAGCCAGGAACAAACATGGTCAAGAAAAACAAACCAAAAATTAGAGAATCCCAATATTTTTTCACTAATTAGAATACCTATGTTGGAAAGAGTTCACTGGCTCCCTTTTTACCTAAAGTTTCTTTTATAAAAATGGGAACCTTCAACCCACAATTACTTGTAGTATAAATTCCACCCTTCATAAAATATACAAACATTTACTGAGCATCGACTACATACATAAAGCGTTAAGGCACTTTATATTAAGGCTAGCTTAAATGGACAGTAAAAAGATATATAAAAGACTGAAAACATCAGAAGTTCCTAAACCTGATTCAGTAAAAAACACGATGCTTTAATTTCCTTACCTATAAAAAAAGACAGCATTATTTGCTTTTAATATTTCATTAGTATATGAAAATTAAGTATATAGGTAAAAGCATTTTATAAACTATGAAGTACCATACAGAGACTACAGCAATAAAAAAACATGCAGACCTCTGAGTGAGGTATGGATTTTCCCAAGGTTGCTGGTCTACTGTACTACAATCAGGAAACATTTGAACCAGGGCAATACATACTTATAGTATACTTACAGTATACCTATAGTATACAGGGGCGTATCGCTTTCCCTGAGGGAAATTCTGGATTTTAGCCACATGGATATATATACACTACTTCCATGATTTGAATAATACCATAATTAAGAATTGTATTTTCTCTCATGAACTTCCATAGTTTATTTCAGCCTATATATTTGCTATTCTCTGGTCTTATACATAGAATCCAATATGAAAGAAATCTCTTCAATTTAGATTCCATTCCAACCAGGTTTGTACAAAGAAGGTCTGTCTGACTGGCATTGATATGTGAACAATCTGTGGATTATATTAACTGTTCACATAATCTAAAGACTTAGCATTTTACTGCACAAATTACTGCTATAAAATATTTCATTAAAAAAGTAATTCTATCCTTTACACAGAATTTATTATAAATAGGCCCAAAGGAATGCCTGTCTAAATTTCAATTATAAATAAAAGTCATTGGATACTTGCAAACATATTTAAAAGTAACTTAATAAAGATCAAGTTTAAGTACAGGAAAATGTATATACATTTATATAAGCACCTTCCAGGAAGTAGTTTGGCAATTTCTGCCCAACGATTTCCCAACCGCTTATGTGCTTCATAGATGATCCTGTCCTCTTCTTCTGTCCAGGAAGATTTCTTTACCTCAGGATTCAGATGATTATGCCATCTTTCTCTACACTGCTTGCCTATTCTTCCTTTCAAATGTTTTGCAATTAAAGACCATCTTTTTGGCCCATATTTCTGAACTAATTCAATAACCTAAGAAACAGAAAAACAAAGTTTAAAAAAGCACTATCTTTTTAAAAATAAATAATTCATGGGGATGTAATGTACAGCATGGTGACTATAGTTAACAATACTGTAATGCACATCTGAAAGCTGCTTAGAGAGATCTTAAAAATTCTCATCACAAGAAAAAAATTTTTGCAGCTATATATGGTGACAGATGTTAACTAGACTCATTGTTGTGATCATTTAGCAATATATACAAATAGCAAATCATGTGGTACACCTGAAACTAATACAGTGTTACATGTCAGTTATACCTCAATTAAAAAAAGGTTTTAATTACCTTTATTTATTTACCTTTTTAATTACCTTTAATTACCTTTTAATTACCTTACAAATTACCTTGACAGAATTTTGAAACATAACTCAAGAATACTATTTTTTAATGCATTAAATCCAAACCACAACAATTTTTCTCATATTCATCATTTGCCAAGTACAAAAGTACAAACTTAATCAAAATACAAGGTGCCAATTAAAGTGAATTGTAAGTTAAATTGTTTTCATTGAAAATTAATTTAAAACAACAGTAAAGATGTTGAGACTTATAGATTTTCTACTCCTGTATCTTTTTTTTAAAAAAAGCTTCAGCTGAAAGCCAAATAAATCAGTTTGGAAGCAGGAAGGATCTACAAATTTACTGTCTTCATTTCTTCCTTTCTCACATTAAAAGGATACAGATCACACATTGTAAAACCTATCACTGACCATCAAGTAAAGCAGATCAGTTCTGAGCCTGGTGAACGTTTTTTTTTTTTGAGTGGGAAGAAACATGCTCTAATTCCCCAACTACATTAACGTTTCTGCCATAAAGAACATGAACTAAAGGGCAATTCCTAGTGGAGGGCAGCAATATTCCTATTCTCAGACTTTTATAACACAAAGAATTACCTTAGTTTTTAAATCATCCAACCCTTTAGAAACACGATGCTCTGGTAATCTACCTTATTTGGGGGCTCATTACAGGTCAAGAGGGATAGTTAAGAATGACTTTCTTACATATCATGTTATCAGATAAAATAAAGATTTAAATTGTTTTTAAAATGTTAACTCAATTTTCAACAAGAAGCTATACCCTAAATGTTGCTAACTTAAGCTCTAAATAAGATGACTTAGCTGACGGCATTTTTCCTCCTGTAAACCAAACTCTCAGAAAGAAAAAGCTATGTATATTATACTTGGTTTGACTCAATTCAGAAAAACTACATTTCCAGACACTCACCTTTCAATTCTTCTACAAGCAGCACCCAAAGAACAAAATCATGTGATTTAAACATATTCTTTGTGACAAAACAATGTATTAGGAAGAAAAAAAGCCAGTCCACCTACACAGTCGGAATAAAGAATATGAACATGTTACCCTCTGATCTTCTTCTTTAGTCCAAGGACCCTTTATCAATTCTGGATTTAAAACTTTCTGCCATCGATGCTGGCACTGAAAATCCGAACGATTCTGAAAGAATTGATGATTTTGTTATTGAATAATTCATGTAACACTGTATTGAAAATCCGAACGATTCTGAAAGAATTAATGATTTTGTTATTGAATAATTTTTGATATTTTGTCTTCCAGAAAGCAAGTCAGCCTAAACTCAAGAAGAAAGTCTTCAAGAATAATGTATTCAAGGGGCGCCTGGGTGGCTCAGTTGGTTAAGCGACTGCCTTCGGCTCAGGTCATGATCCTGGAGTCCCTGGATCGAGTCCCGCATCGGGCGCCCTGCTCAGCAGGGAGTCTGCTCCTCCCTCTGACCCTCTTCCCTCTTGTGCTGTCTCTCATTCTCTCTCTCAAATAAATAAATAAAATCTTTAAAAAAAAAAGAATAATGTATTCAATATCATTCTTTAAACTGGGGGTGTGTCTGGGTGACTCAGTCGGTTAAGCATCTGCCTTCAGTTCAGGTCATGATCCCAGGGTCCTGGGATGTAATCCCGTATCATCGGGCTTCCTGCTCAGCGGGGAGTCTGCTTCTGCTTCTCCCTCTTCCTCGGCCCCTCCCCCTGCTTATTCTCTCCCTCATTCTCTCTCTCAAATAAATAAAATCTTTTAAAAAAATAGAAATGTGGGGTTAGGTGGGAAGGTGGACTCAAGCAGGCTGATCATGGGCAAATGTCAGAAGTGGCTTTTGGAGTCCCTCTGGAGCTCCTTCTCCCTTCATCCCTCTGCGGGGCTCTTATCCTGGACTCACTTGCTACAGACCTCTCCCAGCTCCTCATGTCCCCATGGTACATTTGGGCTGAGTGTCATTACCTGCGTGCACACTCCCTCTGTGCTCTCTCTCAAATAAATAAATAAAATCTTTAAAAAAAAAATTCTTTAAACTGTAGTATTTACTGGGGCACCTGGGTGGCCCAGTCAGTTAAGTGTCTGCCTTCGGCTCAGGTGGTGATCTCAGAGTCCTGGGATCTGCCCCTGTTCTAGGGCTCGCTGCTCAGCAAGGAATCTGCTTCTCCCTCTCCCTCTGACCCTCCCTGAAACTCATGCGTGCCCTCACTCTCAAATTAAAAAAAAAAAGAAAAAGAAAAAAAAAGAAAGGCCTTAAACTGTAATATTTATCTTACATGCCTATGTCTCGATTCATTCTTAAATTAAAGCCTTTGGCAGAGCTTAGACTATCTATATTATTTTAATTTATAAGTATGTATCTCTGCAGTGCACCTTATAACATAGCAAAATGCAAAGCTATTTAACACAGATACTGCCATAAAGAAATGTATCTAAGATTGAAGAATAAAAGGGAGTAGACAGAAAACTATACAAAGCAGACATATGAACCCAAATAGCATAGCGATCTGAATTCATATAGTACAGCAATACTTAAAAACCCCTAAAGGCATTACTAGACCACTGCATGGTATTTAAAGGATTTTTATAAATGATGAACTCCAAGTTATCAAGAAAAAAACTAAATATATCTATATGAAAGATGTGCATGACATATCAGTTAAATTATTTAAGTGTTGAAGCTTAAAAGGAAAATGAATTTACCAGGATAAGGAAGCCTTATGTAGAAACATCTCAAATTCCAAAAATCATTAACAAATGAAGCCTTAGTCAATTCATGACCTAGTAACTCTTACATATAATAATAATACATAATAATAACAACAAAACACTTAACTTCACGACTGATTCAGAGTTTACAAAAATATTAGTTCATATATAGGATTATGGATAATGTTGTTTACCAGTGGCTGTCTCTGTGCCTGGTGGATTTCAAATTATGTTTAAGCTGATTTTCATTTATGGCTTCTAACCATCAATGCTGATCCATTTTAAGGCTATCATTTTCTTCAAAATAATCAGGCAGTTCCTGCATGTCACTGTAACATTTCTCTGTTCTCTTCATTTGCTGCTATTTCATTGAAGTTAAACTGATAAAGCTAATATAAATAACTTTTCTAATTTAGTTTCCATTTATTGAACACCTGCTAAATGTCAGGAAATGTGCCAAAATCCTATATATGTTATTTCTAATTCTCACAACAAATACTACAAAAACAGTACTATTATTTACATATTGTAGATAAGGAAGCTGAAAATCAAAAAAGTTAAGTAATTTTTCTAAGACCAAACAGCTAATAGAGCTGACACCTGAATATAGACTGACTCCAAAACTTATGCTCTTTCCATTATCTGGTCTCAATTTTCAGGTTATGTTGAAAAGCATCATAACAATTTAGAAAGAACATAGGTAACCTGGTTTCTGAAACCCATTGTAGTCAAAACAGAAATTCAAAAATGAATATTTTGCCTCACTACCTTTAATGTAGTAAGGAACAAAAGGAATGTATGTGAAAACACTGTAAATTATAAAATTACATACTAATGAATAGTGTGTGAATAGTATGATGAACAATTAAGTATAATTCTTTTAAAAATCAGTAACACCTTAAAATGCAAACATTAAATGACAAACTTTTCAACAGATCTTTTTCTGATTTTATTGATCAGCTGCCAAAAGATTTCAATGTATTTAACTTCTTTCAAATGTTTTAATGTTTATCAACAAATATTTATAAAGCCCTAACCAAACTTAGCATCATTTTCATTTTAGATTAGTAATCTTTTTAGGCCCCTGTATAAATTAATTATTAGAAAATCAGACTTTCTGACCTTTGACCACTATAGGAAGATCAGAACAACAGAAATGTTTTTAGAAAGGAAACCTAAGTCTAAAATAATGAAGACACGGGGCGCCTGGGTGGCTCAGCTGGTTAAGCGACTGCCTTCGGCTCAGGTCATGATCCCGGAGTCCTGGGATCGAGTCCCACATCGGGCTCCCGGCTCAGCGGGGAGCCTGCTTCTCCCTCTGACCCTATCCCCTCTCATGCTGTTTCTCTCTCTCTCTCTCAAATAAATAAATAAATAAAATCTTAAAAAATAAAAATAAAAATAAAAATAAAAAATAAATAAATAATGAAGACACATTTCTGAAAAACAGCAAATTTAATCCAATGACCTATATCATCCACGTTAGAAATAGAAGATAATAGTTTACTCACTTGAAGATGACTAGCAATTAGAGTCCAATCATCAGTTCCATGTTGTTCAACCAACTTCTTTAACTTATCATCCTATTAAAACAGGAATGAAAATTAGAAAGCTTTCCTCCCCCACCTATTCCTCTATCCCTAAATATAGATAACTCTCCAATTCTTTCCTGTCATATCTGACAGCCATCTATAGAAGGACAAGCCACTATAATACAAGCTCTCCCATTTACTCTACTGTTTCTCTCAGTCTCAACATCAAACCACTGTTCACACCTCTGGTGGAAGAAAAATATGTGCACATTAGTTGATGAATAATTTTTCTCAGGTTTTGCTTTTCAATATCTTTTAATATCTTTATTAAATATTATTATTAACAAGTAAATACAAGTATGAAATTAATAAACCTGATCACATAATTACCTCATCTCTTGTCCATTTTACTCTGTTCCAGAGTTTCTTCAATCCTTTCTGTTGTGGTACTTCATAATCATGATCAGCATACTGAAGGTCATCATCCTCATCCTCACTAAAAAAAAATAAAAACCCACAATTGTGAAATCAAGAATTTTATGTAAATTTGTGAATTCAATCTTTGAAACTTTGTATACAGGTATGACTGAAGAAGCCACTCAGACTAACATACATCAAGTTAGATTATTCAAAATATAAAAAATTAAGAGTCATACAATTGAGAATAGCTATAGTTCTTACTGACACCAGAGAAATGATATGCCACCAGGGGTCAAGTGATAACCTCTATGTCATGCTAAAGAGTTTGACTTTTATTCTTTATTTGACCTTTATCCTAAAGAGTTAAAGGGCTTTAAGTAAGGGAAAGACACCTCCTGTTTTGGAAAAATCACTGGCAGGAATGTGGAGAAATGGAGGAAGGAAGACCAATCACTAATCTTTTACAATAACCCAAGTAAGAAAGTATTAGAGCCTGACAATGTTAAGGGTGAAATACAAAACACAGTCACATCTAGTTAAAAGAAACAATGGAAAAAATGATTCATCAGCATTACCAACAACAAAATTAAAATATGTGAAAATAATTTGAATATATAAGATCAAGGCATAGTAAACAATGAAACACTATTATAAGATACATTAGACTTGAATAAATGGAAAAACACTCAGACCCCATTCCTGGACAGGAAAACAATATTACAGATGTCCATTCTCCCTAAATTAATTCATAAATTTTTTTTTATTTAAAGATTTTTATTTATTTGAGAGAGCGAGAATGAGAGAGAGAGAGTACATGAGAGAGGGGAGGGTTAGAGGGACAAGCAGGCTCCTTGCTGAGCAGGGAGCCCGATGCGGGACTCGATCCAGGGACTCCAGGATCATGACCTGAGCCGAAGGCAGTCGCTTAACCAACTGAGCCACCCAGGCGCCCCATTTTTTTTTTTTAAAGATTTTTATTAATTCATAAATTTTTTATTTTTTTTTAAAGTAGGCTCCACACCCAATGTGAAGTCCAATGCAGAACTCGAACTCATGACCATGGGATCAAGACCTGAGCCGAGATCAAGAGTGGGACACTTAACCGACGGAGCCACCCAGGCACCCCTAATTCATAAATTTAATGAATAATGATTTTCAGAGGGAGGGGTGCCTGGGTGGCTCAGTCAGTTAAGCATCTGCCTTCAGCTCAGGTCATGATCCCAGGGTCCTGGGATAAAATCCCACATTGGGCTCCCTCTCCTTCTGCTGCCTGCCATTTCCCTTGCTTGTGCGCTCACTCTCCCTCCCTCTCTCTCTAATAAATAAATAAAATCTTTAAAAATAAAAAAGATTGGGTGCCTGGGTGGCTCAGTTGGTTGAGCAACTGCCTTCGGCTCAGGTCATGATCCTGGAGTCCCGGGATCGAGTCCCACATCGGGCTCCCTGCTCAGCAGGGAGTCTACTTCTCCCTCTGACCCTCCCCCCTCTCATGTGCTCTCTCTCTCTCTCAAATAAATAAATAAAATCTTTAAAAAAAATAAAAAAATAAAAAATAAGATTTCAGAGGGACTTAGACATGCTGATTCTATAGTTCATATGGAAAAATAAACAATTAGCACTACCCAGTATGAAAACATACTGTAGAGAAACAATAAATAGAACAGTACTGGCATATGAACAGATACACAGGTCAATGGAAGAGAACAGAACATTCAGAAAAAAAAAACACACCCAAATGGGAATTTGGTAAATTGTAACAGTAACATATCAAGTCAGTGGGGTAAAGATGGACTTTTCAATAAATGGTAAGACACAGGGTGGCTATTATATATAAAGCTTGAGTCTTACTTTAAAATAAAAAACGTCAGATGAAGCAACTATCTTACATTTTAAAAACTGAAACCGTAATAGTACTATTAAAAAAATAGGATAGAATTCCATCTTTTTATACCCTTGAGTAGAAGAGATCTAAATGTAACAAAAATCAAGAAACCATAAAAGAATAAACCAACTAAGGTAATAACAGTGGCAATGGAAAGAAGCATGTGAAACAGAGTTATTAAAAAGGTAGAAACAAAAGGATTTTGCAAGCAATCAAGGATGCCTCCAAAACTTCTCTGACTTTAGGAGCATAAACAGAGCTATCCACTGAGATAAAGAATAGAAGGAAAAACAGAACTTTGAGAGGGAGAAGAGAATGGGGAGAGTAGGCAGTTTTGGACTAGCTGATTTAAAGGCACTTGAGAAATATACAAGTGAATATATCTTGAACAGCACTGTCAATAGAAATATAACACAGCCACATATGTAATTTCCTAGTAGCCACATTTTAAAAATAGAAACAGGTCAAAATAATGTAAATTATTTAACCCAATATATTAAAAAATTACTAATTCAACACCTACTCAACATAATCATGAACTAGTTTACATTCCTTTTTTACTTACTAAAGTCTTCAAAATCTAGTGTGTATTTTATAGTTAGAGTGCATTGCAATTCAGACTAACCACATTTTAAGAGCTCAATAGCAACATGTGGGGAATGGCTATTCTATTGGGCAGAGCAGATCTAGGAAGGCACCAGGGCACATGGATCTTCTGCTCAGGTTAAGAGGCCTAGGGTAGACACACAGTTTTGGCAATCACCAGCATAGAGAAAACAGTTAAAGCCATGAGAACATGAAGCCTCAGAAAAGAGGGCGGGTCTTTATGATAAACTGAATTAGAGGATTTTGAGTAGCTAAAGGACTGAATACAGTCATGAGCATCTGAAAATAATAACAGCAAATATTTATTTAAACTTTCTAAGTACCAGACATTAGGTAGTCTCTGAAATTTCTGTCTTAAGACCCCACAACAACCCCAAGAGGGAAATATTACTATTCCCACTTTACAGAAAAGGGAGACTTTGACTTAGAAAAGTTAACTTCTTGCCTACAGTTACACCAAATGTAGCATGACTGAACTCCAAAATTCACTATTTAACCAGTATACTACCACATACTAGAAAAATAGGAAAGAGGATACTAAGAAGCTGGAAGATACCAAAGACAAACCTGAAGTATGTTTTGAAATCCGAACAAGGTTCTAGTTATAACTGAACTACTTATTTTGCATCGTGGATATATTAACCTCTTAGGGCTTTAGTTTACCTGTTTGTGAAATAAGGATAATACCACCTACCTTATAGTGCTTCAAGGATAAAATTAAATGAAAAAACATATAAAACACCTCATGGCACAGAGAGGTAGCTCAATATTAGTATTATGTGCATAGGCTGACTGCCCAACAATATTCAAGATTATTTCTGCTTTACTAGATTCAACTCTTTTCCAAAAATTCACTCTGATTTCAAATAGCTAAAGTTTGATGATTTAACTTTAATGTAATATATTTAAGAACATGTGGGTAGTTCCCAATATCTACATATAGTTTAATTCTTACAAAACTGAAAAATGAAGGCCTAGATTTAATATATACTGTCTATAGATCCTTTGCAGGAACTTCTGATTTCCCTTGATTTGTCAATTCTATAGGACCAAAATTCTTTTTTTTTTTTTTTTAAGAAGGCTTCATGTCCAATGTGAAGGTTGAACTCGTGACCCAGAGATCAAGAATCACATGTTCTACCAACTGAGCCAGCCTGGTGCAAGCCCCCCCACCCCCAGCCCCGGACCAAAGTTCTTCATATCTGACCAAGCAAGACACCAAGATCCCCAACTCCCCTACCTATATAACTATCTATCTGCTTCAGTTCAATGCATTTCAACATTCCAATGCTCTCTCCCTAAAGCCAGTGTCTATTTGTAACAATAATCTGCCAGTTCTATGCTTGTTTTGTTGAATTAATCTGAAAATAAAGACACAAGTTTAAAGAAATACCTGTTATTTGCTGAATCTTCAGCTATCAGAAATATCCACCTGATTAGCCAAGATTAGCCAAGATTCAATAGTTAAAATGGAGATGGTTCAGGATCCAGTGACTTAATAAATTTCTAAGAAGGCTACCAAATCAGAAAAACACCATATTGAGGCTTTCTGTCCAATTTGTATGTACTCATGGCATCTACCCTTCTTTTTTAATGCTCATCACACATGCCAACCTTTCCAACCAAATAGTAAGTTCAGGAATGCAAAGACCATATCTGATACCTCTCAGCACCAAGCACAGTACCTGTAATATTTGTAAAATTAATGATCAGTGAATGATCTTCCTTACTCTTTTACCTCCTCCAAGTACTCTGTATTCCAAAATTACCTCATTCCCTTCCAACCCAATGAAAACTTCCACCTCCCTCAATACAGCTGATCTCAAGTGGATATGAGAGAGAAAACTTTTTTTTTTAACAAATGAAAATACCTCTAGGAGAAGGGGAAGGGCATTCTCATTTATTAAAAAGGACTTTCAAGGGGCGCCTGGGTGGCTCAGTCGTTAAGCGTCTGCCTTCAGCTCAGGTCATGATCCCAGGGTCCTGGGATCGAGCCCCACATCGGGCTCCCT